CTGACTGGTCAGCCGTTGCTTTTCTGCCGGGTCTTGGCACATCTCGATCTTGTGCTCGAGCTCCTTCCTCTCGAGCGTGAGCTTGTGCTCGAGCTCCTTCCTCTCGACCTTGACCGTGTGCTCGAGCTCCTTCCTCTCAAGCTGACTGGTCAGCCGTTGCTTTTCTGCCGGGTCTTGGCACATCTCGATCTTGTGCTCGAGCTCCTTCCTCTCAAGCTGACTGGTCAGCCGTTGCTTTTCTGCCGGGTCTTGGCACATCTCGATCTTGTGCTCGAGCTCCTTCTTCTCGAGCGTGAGCTTGTGCTCGAGCTCCTTCCTCTCGAGCGTGAGCGTGTGCTCGAGCTCCTTCTTCTCAAGCTGACTGGTCAGCCGTTGCTTTTCTGCCGGGTCTTGGCACATCTCGATCTTGTGCTCGAGCTCCTTCCTCTCGAGCTTGACCGTGTGCTCGAGCTCCTTCCTCTCAAGCTGACTGGTCAGCCGTTGCTTGTCTACCGGGTCTCAAGCAGACTGGTCAGCAGATGATATCTGCCGGGTCTTGGCACATCTAGATCATTGTGCACGAGCTCCTTCCTCTCGAGCTAGCCAGTGAGCTCGAGCTCCTTCCATCTCAAGCAGACTGATCAGCCGTTGCTTGTCTACCGGGTCTTGGCACATCTCGATCTTGTGCTCGAGCTCCTACTTCTCGAGCGTGAGCTTGTGCTCGAGCTCCTTCCTCTCAAGCAGACTGGTCAGCCGTTGCTTTTCTGCCGGGTCATGGCACATCTCGATCTTGTGCTCGAGCTCCTTCCTCTCGAGCTAGACCGTGTGCTCGAGCTCCTTCCTCTCAAGCTGACTGGTCAGACGTTGCTTTTCTGCCGGGTCTAGGCACATCTCGATCTTGTGCTCGAGCTCCTTCTTCTCGAGCGTGAGCTTGTGCTCGAGCTCCTTCCTCTCAAGCTGACTGGTCAGCCGTTGCTTTTCTGCCGGGTCTTGGCACATCTCGATCCGGCGCTGGATTTGTGAGATAGATTCCACCAGTATGCTCATTTCGTCTGTCTTGCTCTCCTCTTTCTCTTCATCTCGCCTGTATTGCTGTCTTGTTCCTTTTGGTCTTGCTTTCTCCTTTGACTTTTCATCCTGTCTGTCTTGCTGCATTGCTCTGCTTTTTCTTGCTCTCTTACTTTTGATCTTGTCGCGCTGCTTTTTCAATGATGCGGTCTGGAAGACACAGTGAGAGGAACGCAGGAGAGTCAGGTTGTGAACAAAAGCATCAGGATTTGGGCATAAGCATGAGGAAGATGGGAAAGGAAATGAGAGTGGAGAAAGCAACGGTGACAGAAGAAACAGTGGAGTTGCAACGGTAAAGCGCGCAAGGCAGTAAACCAAGAAATTGACAAGTGAATTACAGAAAACTACACTCACAGAGTTCAATTCAACTTTCTTCTCTGCCTCGTCCTCTCCGCCTTTCAAGCGTAGAGATAGAGGAGATCCAGTGCCTTGGCGCGACTTACGGCTCTTGAGCTTAGCATACTTTCCTGTCTCAACGGATCGAAGCGCAGATTCGAAGGATAGGAAGAGCTGGAGGATGAGCAAAATTTCCAGAAAAAAATTCAATCCCCTCATAATGGACAGTAGAAGTGCTGAAGTTCAAATCAATGTCTCTTGATGCCACGAGTATAGCTGAGAGAAATGCGAACGCGAATCAGATTATTTGGATATCTTTCAAGCCTGCAAGCAGATAAATTGTCATGGGCAACAGGAGATGGTTCTGTTTAAGTTCATAATTGTGGAGTGGACCAGTTCGAACTTCACATCTCCCATCACCCTCTACCACAGCTCTACCTCACAAAAGTCAAAAGTTATTTTTTTTCTGCACACCTACTCGTACCACTTGGAATCAATCTTCATCTTTATCAAGTTCAATGTTGGTGCTACTTGAAGACTTCACGTTATCATATCCCCTTCTCTTTATCGGTACAAAGTTATTGTCCTTCCTTATCCCACTTCGCAGTTCAACTCAGTCCTCTCGTTTCCTAAGGAAATTGTCCTTTATTTCTGAGGCGTGTTCACTCGCTTCCACCTGATCTCCACTTCACTCATCGGTGCGATGCACATTTTCCTTTGCTTTCCACTTCCCTTCACTTTCCTTCGCTTTCCATTTCTCATCCTCACCTCACCTCTTGACACTCTGTTTCTGCTTTGACATGGCTTGTTGTGATTGATCTCTTCATCTTGGTTACTCTCTAGGCCGGCGGGAGACTCTGGCAGCGGCTCAGATAACCCCACCTCTGCAGCTCAGAGGAAGGGGTACTCTGCCCCCTTCCTCCCATATATCGCTCGACCTCTCCTCTCTCCTCTCTCCCTCTCCCTCCCTCCCTCTCGACTGCTCACTCTCTCTCCACCTCTTTCATTTATCTGGCTGTTTAAGGTTTATATGCAGAGGTTTATTAAGTCTTCCAAGGGGGCTGTATGAGGGCTCGAAAAGGGACCACAAATCAGATACTGAATCCCCTAAGACGTTATCTTGTTCCCGATATGGA